GTCCTCTCCCTGGAGCTTTGCCTGCCTCCATTTGCTGCCCTGCAAATGCACACTTTGCCTTGTCAACCAAGGGAAACAAAAAATGGGTAAAGTGGAGGCATGGCGAGAGGGATAACAGCAGGGCAAGGAGAACAGGTACCCCTCCATTGTGCACTGAGTCGGATTCAGAGAGCTTGGAGCAAGGAGAACTGTTTCAAGACAGAAATGAGGATTCCACAAGATATTTTGTAGCAGTCAACTTTGGTCACAGGGACTAATTACAAGGGTGATGGCAGTAGAGGTGGAAGAGACAGTTGGCAGCTGAGCCAGTGTTTTTGCAGAAGTGCATTTCATTTAAGATGGTTTTGTTTAAGGTGGCTGTGGCCTTCGGGAAAGCTTGTGGTCCTGGCGGTCTTTTGTGATAATTTCTACCATGCGATCGTGTATAACCACTTCCTTCAGACCCTCCTGGGTCTGTTGTTGTTAGGGTCCATACATGCAGGTCCACCTTGATTCTGACAACGTAAATGGTCTTCTCTGTGAATTTTCCAAGTTTTAAAGGTACCAAAAATTGACATACATGTTGATAACAACCAGTGCTAGCAAAGGAAGCATGTGGGGAGACCAGAGTTTCTGTACACAATGTTGACAATTCTGATTGACACAGCATTCTTTTTTAAAATGTTTGCAACAAAATAAACTTGCCTTTTAATTTCATTTTTCCATGAACTTTTTGAAGTACCTCTGTATGTGATATGAGGTCTTTTTAAAAAAATGTATTCTAGCTATTGACAGAACAAAGTGTGGAAGAATTCACATAAATCTATCTTGGTGATGCTTTGCTCCTAAGACAGGAGACCTTGTGAACAATGCATTTTTAAACTATTTGGAGGTATTTGAAGGATCAGCATTGTGGCACAGTGGTTAAGCCGCTACCTGCATTGCCAGCTTCCTGTATCAGAGCATCAGTCAGATCGCAGCTGCTCCTCTTCCCATCCAGCTTCCTTGTTGATGTCCTGGGAAACCAGCAGAAGGTGGCCTAAGTATGTGGGGCCCTGCCACCCATGTGGGAGACCTGGATGAAGTTCCTGGCTGCTGACTTTAGCATAGCCCAGACCTGGCTGTTGTGGCCATTTGGAGAGTGAATCATGGATAGAAGAAATGCCTCTCTCTCTCTCTCAGTAAAAAAAAAATTAATAAAATATATTGTGTCAAATTAGGACAAATTGTATGTGGATGGGGTGATGTTGGAGACAAGATTTGCTGCAGCATATTAAAGGTCTTTTGTACTCTGCCGCTTGACCAAGGCCTCTTAACTGTATGTCTCAGAGGTTTGTGAAACGTGTCTCGAGGGCCGGGGTAATTCTAGCTGCTCCACTGAAGCATGACAAATGGCCTCTCACTTTGAATTCGTGTATGGGAAAGGAAAGCCTTCCATGACACCAGCCCTGGAACTCAATTACAGGCTCCAGATCTGGGGTAAGAGTGAAGTCAGGCGTCGGCTGTGTTCCAGAGACAGGAGTGAGAGCAGACCGACCTGGGCGGAGTAGGGACTGAGTAGTGTGGCAGTAACCACAGTACGGTGAAAGCCAGGAGACGTCATTGAGAACTGACTGCGGGTGCTGTACTTCCTACGCACTGTCTCACTGAGTTCTCACAATACCTCTGCTAAGACATAGGTTATGAAATCCATCACAGCAAACCAGCCAATCAATTGATAATTTCAGATAACAAGTGCAAGGAGGAAGGTGTTATTCAGATGGTAGTCAGTGCTGCGTATTAGGGGAGCGGGAGGGCATCGGAGCAGAGCCCTACGACATGGAGCATGGAGCCACAGCAGGATCTGGTGGAGCAAAGGCTGGGGGCGCTCCAGAGTTGGGCTTGCTCTGGAAGCAGAGAGAAAGCCAGCGCGGTTGGTTGACGAGTGAAGAGGGGAAACATCTCTGCGGTGGTGTCAGAGAAATGGGCAGGTGCCAGATGCCACAACACCTTGAGGGTCATAGAGCATGTTTGTGTTTGATGGCACATGCAGGGGAAGGCGCTGGGGGATTTTTATGCCGGGAGTGCTACCATCTCCAGTCTGCACTGGCGGCTCTCTTCACCTCTCCGAAGAAGCCAGAGGAGCTGAAAAAGGCTCCCTTGTTTGCAGGGCAGCCTACATGGCAGCCGAGTTAGCGGACAGTATTTCTGTTGAAACAAAACTCTAGATTTTTCAAGCAACAAGACAGATGGTCAGTGACAGGTCCTCTGGTCTCAACTTGTCTGACTACCGGGAAGAAAACCTTAGCAGGTCTGAGTAGAGCGTCTGGACTATGAAGGTCTACGTAAAGGGATCACTTCCGTGTCCTGGGACTGTCCCATGGCATACAGGGAGTACTCCTCCAGGGCTGAGCGAGCTCCCTCACTTCCTGGTTGGGAGGTGATACTCGCAATCTCTGAGATAAGACATCGCAGTTCCAGGTCCATAGCATCTCAGGGATTTGCATTTCTATGCAGTGTGTGTGTGTGTGTGTGTGTGTGTGTGTTGCATATCTTCATGTTTGTCAGTTAAAAATTATTTTTAAAAACTTATTAGAGTTGCAGAGAGAGCACTCCCATCCACTGATTCACTCCCCCGAGTGCCTGTGAAGGCTGGGGCTGAGCCTGAGATCACTCCAGTCTCCCCCATGGTGGCAGGAACCCAGCCATTTGCACTATTGCTGTTGCCTGCCAAGGTCCACATCTGCAGGAAGCTGGAGTCAAGAGCCAGAGCAGGCAGGCATTGAACCCAAGTGCACCAGTATATGGGATGCAAGTGTCAAGCTCTAGACCAAGTGCCTGCCCCCGAGGAATGATTTGTAATACCCCATCGATGTTTAAATGCACAGCTTCTGGCTTTTCTGGTGAGGTGACATTGTGTGGGTGGTTCTGAAATTTTGGTGTCAACTCAATGACTTCGTTTATTTTATTTATGGTCTTTATATACAAACACTGATGTTAACCCATTAAAATTGGTTTATGTCAGATACAGGGTGGACTTAGTTGGTTGTTTAGGTTAAAAGTTCCCTAATCCAAGATCCTGTTCTCTTACATTGACAAAAGTATTAAGAGTTAATGCCCATATTTATCCAGCAAACTAACCTTGAGTATTGGGAAAGTGACGGAGTGGAGGGACGGCTTTGCACAAGGTCAGCAGCAGCCAGTGTTGGTGGCTCTGTTTGTGTGTCTTGGTGGCTGACTCTCCGTGTGCAGGTCTGTGACAGTACACGCCTAACGACATGGACTGGTTTGTATGAAACATGCTTTGGAGGCATTGATTTGAGCTCTGTGATATGTGGACCCCAGAGAGCAGGATATTCATTGTGGGGGGACTTAGCTGCAGCTACATGGTGTGATGGAATAGGACTCCAGGAGTTTGACTTGGTTGTTATTTCTAAATAGCGTTGTTTCTTGGGGGAAGACATGCTCCAACTATTTGCTGTGTGAGGGTAGAAAAGTTGCAAGTACCTGGTTTGATCTCTTGCTGCAGCTCCTGACCCCAGCTTCCTGCTAATGCAGACCCTGGGAGGGCAGCAGTGATGGCTCAAGAAATTGGGTTCCTGACCCCCGACCCCTATGAGAGATTTAGATTGGGTTCCCAGCTCACAGCTTCAGCCCTGGCTGTTGCAAGCATTTGGGAAATGAATCAGTGATTGGGTGTGGGGGAGCTCGCATGCTCGCTCACTCGCTCTCTCTGCCTCCCTCCCTCCTTTCCTCCTTCCCTCTCCATCTCTCAAATAAATAAATAAAAGGAAAGAAAAGTTCTAGGGGCTGGCATTGTTGGTAACTGGGTTAAGCCTCAGCCTGGGATACTGGCATCCCCTGTGGACACCATTTCATGTCCCAGGGTCTCCACTTCCAGTCCCGCTCCCTGCTGATGGCCAGGGAAAGCAGTGGAAGATGGTCCAAGTCCTTGGGCCCCTGCACCCACATGGAAGCCACAGATGAAGCTCCAGTCTCCTGGCTTCAACCTGGCCCAGTCCTGGCTATTGTGGCCTTCTGGGGAGTAAAACAGCGGATGGAAGATCTCTCTCTGTACCTCTTACTTTCAAAATAAATAATATTTTAGAAAGGAAGGAAGGAACGAAGGAAAACTCTTAAGAGGACAGCAGCTCGAGGACAGGCCATTTGTTGCCTGGGGAGCACAGGATGTGCAGTTTCCTCATCTAAAGGTGCCGAGTGAGAGAACCCTTAAGGTTCCCTACAGATGGCCATTCTGTGGTTTGAAAGAATTTCTCCCCTGCTTGAGCTAGAATATGTTTTACAAAGCCTTGGGGCAGTGGGCTCAGGAGGACTCTTGACAATCGGTGCAGAATTATAAATTCGGCTGTCAGCTCTGGGATCGTTGAGTCGACTGAACAAGCACATTTCCTCCATTGTCTGTTTTCTTGAAGAGGAACAACCCAGTCCTCTCTATTCTGTTGTAAGCCTTTCACTCTGACACTTCTGATTGCTAAGAAAAGAGATTTCTGGAAAGAGTTCATTCCAGGAGATGATGGGATTCCAATGGGACCCTCAGTGCCTCCACTGTCAGACCTGGTATTTTAGGAGTTGGCATGGGTTGAGCTGTGCACCTTTGCAGAGTGAATATGACATCCTTGCTGCTTTGCATCTCAACAAATCTTTATAATGGGCTAGAGATCTGACTGGAAACTGTGAGATAAATTACATGTTTATGGCACCTGGTTAAGTAAATACTATTTGGATTAGTAGCGGGTACAATCAAGTGAATTGCTTAAAAAATCTTTTTTGATATGCTAGGCCCTATGAAAATGGGGAGCCATTGATTCAGCTATGGGAAGGCAGGGAAGAAAGTGGTGTTGTCCCCACAGGGTTTGCATGCAGGCTGCCTCCCTCGCGCCTGAAACTGTCCAGAAACGCGCAGGGGGAGTCCCCAGGGACGGAGTGTGAGTGCTGCTGATGGAGTGTGCTCCTGCACTGCAGACACATGCTGACAGTTTGACGTGCAAGCTGACGGATTGATTTCTTTCTTTTCATTCCAGATGCTGAGGAATACCAGCCTCCAATATGGAAGTCGTACTGTGAGTACACACAATGCAACGCCCCTCTGAACAATTCGTGCTGTGGCTGCAGTGCACGCGAGTGGTGCCGCATCCCAGTGCTGGAAACCCTGCCCGCCCTTCGCCCACCGAGCAGAGCCGGTGGTCAGGAGTGCTGACTCCTCCCTGCTCCGCCCCTGGGACCTGGGAGAGCCCAGGGCCTGTGGCTTACAGCGGGCAGGAGTCCACAGGGACTCTTGGACGTCCGATTTGGGACTGTTGTTTTAGAGCTGTGTCCAGTTGGTCCAGGAGCAATGCGTTGCCTTCCCTGAGTTCTGTGCTTGGCTCACTAATCAGCTTAAGGCTGTACCCAGATAACGTTAGCCACTGAAAAGTTAACAAATCATTAATCATGATGACCTCCTCATTCGTCATCACCCACTGTCTCAAAGGCTGGCACTTGATATCAACCTGACCTCCTTGTCTGTCTCCTGAGTATCGCTGCCCAGCTTAGAAACCATCCCCCAAGAGAGAGGTCGGATGGAAACCCATTTGTGATGGGAGCAAGGGCTGCGGCTGCTCGTGGGGGCCCTGCTTGTAGGCAGCAGCGTGAGAATAATTAGCTCTGTGGTTACTGATGATGCTGGGGCCACTACAGCTGGCTGAGAACCTGCTCTGGCCAGCAGCTGCAGGAAGCCACTGAAGCTCAGCTTCTCACCCAAGCCCTAGCGGACAAGCGCTACTGGCATCTCCATTTCACACAAGGAAACCACAGCTCAGGGCTGCTAAGTACCTTGGTGAAGGTTTTGCAAAATGCAGGAGCCAGGGGCCAGCCTGACCCACCGCCTGCAAGTCTCCAAGTCTTTTTTCTTATTATTGAAAATTTTTAAATTTTAAAATTTAAATTTAAATTTTTAAATTTTAAAATTCATTTGAAAAGCAAGACACACACACACACAGATAGACATAGAAAGACCTCGCATCTGTTGGTTCACCATGCAAATGCTTGAGTCACTGGGACTGGGCCAGGCCAAAGCCGGGAGCCTGGAACTCAACCCAAGTCTCCCACATAAGTGGCAGGGACCCAACTACTTGAGCCATTGCTGTGCCTCCCAGGATTTGCCTTAGGCCGAAGCTGGAATCAAATGGAGCTGGAACTCAAACCTATGCATTAAGCATCCTAATTACCATGCCAAAAGTCCACCCCTAAAATTTTATACATGTACACCTAAATATATATCTATTATCTACATACACATGTACATATTTGTTCCAAAACAATTTCTTTTCTACATCAGAGAAAAAGTTTAGAGAAATACAAAAAAACTATGATCCACATGCCAGCCGCTACCCAATTCTATTCCTCCTTGCCACTTCCCGATGACTGATTTCTGTTTCTTTGGAGGGAGGGTGCTTCCCCAAGTTGTTTTAAAAATAATATTGAGGCATTTTTGCTGCTTGGTTGCATTTTGTCAAAACGGCATTATGCTGGACCTGACGCCCTTCAACTTCCTGTTTCACGTCACAGATGTTTGGCTTGTGTCTCTCCTTGTCCACACAGGCAGAGGCACCTCTCTCTCTATTACCTGCATCTGTTCTCCCATCTGTGAAATGAAGGCTTTGTGCTGGGTCTCCAGGGGCCTTTCCCATCCAGTGCTCTGCACTCTGATCTTCGATTTTAAAAGGAGTGCTAATGACTTAGTAATTGGATGTTTTTGTTTGTTTGTTTCCTAATGGAGTGTGAAGTGCTCTGACAGTAAATCAACAAAATATCTGCAGTGAGAGGTATTGGATGCTCCATGGCATAGGGTACCTGCACACGTGAACTACCCAATAAATACTTGTTGAGTGGGTGCTACCCCCGAGAGCTTTACTGAAGCGTTGGATGCCATTGGCTCCATCTAATTTCACCTTTTTCTAAGAGACTTTTGGCCACCCAATATATCTCTTAAAAGCACATCTATGTCACAAGGAAACTAGGAAAAATGCTAATTACGTGTTCACCATATTGATTTTACCCTAGTGTGTTGGGTTTGATTTTCTTTTAATCTAACCAAGTTGTGGGTTTCTTAATTTGCTTTAGAATCACAAAGCTTTCTGAAAGAAAATGCTTGAGGCCATAACCCAGTGGCACATGAGACACTCCTTCTTATTGCACCCAACTAACAGTCATCCAGGCATTTGAGGGCCCCTAGTGGTGTGGCACTCCCAATGGTGCAGGGAATATGCTACCCAGGGTATCAAAAACGTGTTGACCAAACCCTGCAGAACACAAGGCAGAGAATTCTCTCTTGTTTGTCCTGGACCCATGAATTCTTTGACTCTGGGTGTTGCACCATGTATAAATGTTCCCTACACAATATGGTTCTCAAGCTGGTGTCATGTGTTGATTTAATCTTTCAGCGAATACTTTCAGAATACCAGAGGATTTGTGTTAGGAATGAACGATGAATCAGTGGCCCACACTGTCCTCCCATTTATACTGTAAAGGAGACAGATGTAAACCAATAAACTTAAAATGCAAATAGATATAGATTCTAGGAACAAAGTATACCTCTGTCGCTGCTGGAATTGGGGAAGATGTTGAATTTGCCCCTGGATCTTAGAGGACGCCCAGGAGAAGGCGTCTGAGGCCCTTAAAGACCCTCCTGGGGTATTTTCAAGAGTCCAAATACATAGGATGGGCACTGGGTTCAGCATTTATATGCTGCTTGGGATGCCTGCGTCCCATATAGCAGTGCCTCAGTTTGAGTCCTGGCCCTGCTTCTGATGTAGCTTCTGGCTGATTTCACCCTGAGAGGCAGCAGGTGGTGGCGTAGGTGGTTGTGTCCCTGCTACCCACGTGGAATTCTTGGCACTTGTCTTCAGCCTGGTCCAGCCCCTGCTGTTGTGGGCATTTGAGATGCAAACCAGCAGATAGGGAGACTTGGCTTTCTCTTCCTCTCTCCAGTAAAATAAAAATGATTTTAAAAAATCAAATATGTTAAAGCTATAGCATTTTCCTAATATGAAAATCCAAGAAAACTATCAGAATATTAAATTTGTTTTGTTTTAAATGGCCTGTCGGTAAACCCATTCTGAACTGTGGCAATCACCACATCCTTCTCTTAAGTGCTCACAGAGCATCCTTGGGGAGAATAATTTTGTGTATTCATGTAAAACTCATTAGCATATCACTTATGGTATCCATATTTTTCCCTCACACACTTTTTAACTCCAGCAATTATGTGTCTCTCACATCTTTTCCAAATGGAGTACATTTCTTGCCACCACATTGGCCTTAGTTTAAAAATGTGTGATTTGCAGTGGGTGTAGACTGTGTTAGTAGAACTGTGTGTTTACCTTCATTGACCATTGTTGGCCATAATTGACTTATTTGGTATCTGATTCCTAGTATGAAGCATTAATTCCAGTTATGAGATTGTTCCTAAACAAAAGTTGGTCCACTTCCAATGATTCATTTTATGGAGTTACCTCTATGTTTTTGTTTCGTTTATTTTTTATTTGAGAAGTAGAGAAAGAGTGCTCCCATCTGCTGGTTCACTCCCCAGTTGCAAGGTAGTAGCCAGGAACTCCATCGGGGTCACCCACATAGATATGGCAGAAACCCAGCTACTGGAGATGTCACCACTGACTCCAGGAAGCTGGAATCGGGAGTGACGACGGGCATCGCACCCAGGCACCACCGGGTCAAACATCCACCTCCAGTCCAGGTTTTAATGCTAACTACAGTGCCTTTGGTTACAAGCAACAGAATGCTCCATGAATCCCATTGACTGACCTAACCAAAAAGTCCAGAGGCACTTGACTTCAGGCATGATTTATTCCAGCAACTTAAATGCCATTGGCAGAACCCTGTCTGTATCTATTCCTTTCTTGGTTCTAGGTTTGGCTCCACACTTAGTCTGTTCTTCTCTTGTGATTCCCTAGGTAGCTACCAGTAACACCAGGACTATTGCGTCCTCCTTCAAAAACAGCAAGCAAAGAGACAACCCATTTTCTTGACCCTGCAAACAAAGTCACTGTTCAGTCACTATTGACTGGCTTACTTGCCTGTTCTTCACTCCATTGCTGCAATGGGCTGAATGCCCCAAACCGATTCGGACCTATCGCTGGGTCTCAGGGCAAGATCCATCTTATGTCCACATGGCTTAAAAACTTGTGGTAATGTTAGGAGGAGGGAGGGGGAGATGGATGTTACGAAGCAGCTGCAAATCCTGACTTATAAATGTAGAGAATTAAGGAAATTTTAGAAGTCAGCCCTCAATATTTTATACAAATAGTGCTCATTAATTACTCATTCAACAGACACATACTAAATCTCTGCATTTGTGAAATCTATGCCTTCATTGTGCTCACAGTACTTGGAATTGTGGAACCTTAAGGATGAATAGGAGTGGGTCTTGCTTCCTTTTACCCTGGTTTCCCCTCCTTCCCTTAGAAGCTAACATTATCAAGTTCTTGGCTACTTTCACAGAATAATCTTGTCCCAAAGTCTCCTGCATTGGTGCTAATCTGTTGTTCTCAAAACTCAAAAACATTGATGAAGTCACTGAGAAAGATTTAATTTCTATGCCCTAAAAAGACATTATCTTCAAGTTCAGTGGGAAAAAAAATAAAGCCACGTTCTAATGCTTATGCCAGAACTGTATGAACTATGTGCCCCCAGCAGACAAGTTCAAATCCAACCGTCATGGGTATGCTCTGAAAGATTTTCTTTTCTGAGAGGCCAAGTGCCAATTGGGCAGCTGGTGTGGTGGCTAACAGTGCTCCCAGGCGTCTGCCCTGGGCAGCAGGTTACGGAGTCCTAGCTTCTGCCAGTTTTCCTAAATAGGATTATAGAACCTCAAGTCCTGACCAGCAGACCCCCTGCATCAGAGCCACCTGGTGGGAGTATTTACAGTGATTGTCCCATAACTCTCTCCAGGCCTCTGATTATGAAAAGCAAGGTGGGGAACTGCAATATATTTATTTATGTTTAAGATTTATTTTATTTGAAGAGCAGGGTTAGAGGGAGAGGGAGAGAGAGAACATATGCTTCC